TTCACTTTTAAAACCAAAAAACAACGAGTGAAAATAGATGGTCCAGAACGAGTTAATGTTAAAAAAACTGGACAAGATCGGAATCTAGTTTTTCGGGGTAAGTGTGAATTGAAGACGGCACGTGATAGAAATGAAGCCTAGATGACAGAAAGAATAGGTCCTAATTTAGCCATATCTTGCTACGTTCATTTCAATAGTTTTTTACCGTTCTAGACTACTTAACTCGGGCCAGCAAGCGTATGGATTTGAATTAATGGGATTTTAAAAAAAAATACGATGGCCCAAAAAAACGTGTAGGCGGGCTACAGTGCATAGCATACTGAGCTACCCACTGGGCCGTTCTGTCCAATAACCCTACCAAATATAAAAAAAGTTATATGGGACCCCATTATTCGGTCTACAGGAATATAACCAATACGGGACGTAAAAGAAACCATTAGAGCGCAAAAAGGAAACATCTGGCTGGGACAACCTTCAGTGCATTTGGCTAAGGCTGCACTACTAAACTGGACGAGCTGTATAAAAGAGAACAGTGCGCGGAAGCAGAGCACGCGCTATCTAACGTCTAACTGACGGTGATCCTGGTGGAAGTGGTGCGGAGGTTTAATAAACCCTGTTAAGGTCCCAAAGTGTTACATACACGCCGAACAGATGGAATGACAAGGGAATGGTGATCAGGAACCTCTCAAAGGAATGTTACGTTGGGGATCGTTATGAAAAGTTAGCAACGACGGATGAGCCAAGCGTACCGTTATAAGTGGCTCTCAGATAAAAGATGAAGCTCCCATCGCTGACGGGAGTGCAACGACTTTTACAAGAACGAAATAGGTACAAGACACTCAATCCATTTGACCTACGCAAGCTACAGAGCTAGCAATAGAGAGCTGCCACTAGTAACACAATTACGCAGGCAAAAACTACACCACAGTACCACCGCCAACATGCCTGGCAGTGGCCACTGGCATTGGCTACATTACAGGTATAACTATAATGACAGGTACGAATGCCATAGAAATTATACGATTTAAGGAGGCTAAAACTTTTTCAACCAAATTTAGCTTGGAAATTTAACTGTGACAATTGTAGCCTCATAAAGTCCAGGCAGGTATCGATTCTACTAGCAAACCCAAGGCAGTCAAAATTCTTTCTAACAGACAGCTACAACAAAGCCATGTCTATACCCTCCTTCCTGCAAGAGGTCAAAAAGGATTATGCCGGAACTTACTCTATCGCATGTTCAAAGCAAGAGAGGGACATTCTACATAAGGATCTTTATCAATAAAGACCATAAAAATGAATAGGTCACCGCATGAACAAAGTTTTCAATCGCTGCGTACAGACATGTCCTCAGAAAATGTTCTAAAATCTGCCCGTGCCCATGGACCGTATTGACCTGCTGCACCTTCCAATTTCGACACAAGTGATGGCTTGTTACCACTGATGCGATACACCGACTCAATCACGAGCTAGGTCGAGCCGTTTTAGATTAGGTCGACCGCAAATTCGCGCATTTCAATCCCTATTACCTATAAATTAAGAGAAGTGAATGTTCCCCGTCTTTTTTAAACCTCTTGCTTTGGCCTATTAGAACCCCCAGCTTTGACATACACAACTGCGTATTGACGATCCCCCCCGACGTCCGAATATGTGGACCGATACGCTGTGCGAGCGATTAAAGATGTGGGCCCAACATCGTTGCCACGGACAACGACACGGGCACGAGACGCACGCGCGGCCACGGGACGATCATGCGAGTCTACAAGCTGAATCTGACTACGTCAGAAGCTAAAAAAATAATTAAGAAATAATAAGAAGAAGGAATAAGAAGAAGGAATAAGGAATAAGAAAAAGGAATAGGAATAAGAAAATAAGGAGAAGGAATAAGGAATAAGAAATAAACAAAGAGAGAGAAAAAGGAATAGAAGAAAGAATAAGAGATCACATCTCCCTGCACAATTCCAAGAGAGAATCAGTGCCTTCGTGAAATACAAAGAAGGAACCCCAAGATCAGCGCTACAAGATACCACGCGTATGTATTTGGCCCTAGCAATTGAGAAATTAGATGCGACGTTATCCCTTTGTATTCTAGATAATCCCGCACCTCAATTATTCGGGGTGCCTTGCAGAATTACAAGAGGAGAGGTGGCTAAGTACAAGATACAAGATCCGAAGTGGGGCTTGTAGTGTGTGTAAGATATGCTGGTTTGCAGTGTGCTGTAGTGTGTCACTGATATGTGACTTTACGGAATCTAGACGGACAAATGCGGCCAACCGATTATTGCGCGCGCGCAAGCGCAGCGGCACTGCCGCGCACACCACAACGAAGCGCCAGAGCCCCTTAAATTGCCACTTAGACAGATTAACTGAATCGCTACTAGAAACGGAACTCGATGCGAAAACTGGCGGAATCCAACCGAACATTACGCGATCCAGCTAGAAGGGGCATCTCAAACAGGCCCCCAAAAACTTTTATTGGAGGTGGCCGCGCCGTGATAAGGGATAAAGCGTTAGTGGTCTCAAGAAGGCTTAGTCAATCCACCCAACAGCATCGGCTCATTGGCCGCTAGCGCAGATCCGTCCGTCCGTTGGCGAAACCAAAGAGAGGCATGTCAAGCACAAGGTTTTACAAGAACGCCGAAGCGCGCACCAGCGCGCCGACTCGCTGCTATCTGCAAAACCGCCGCCGCCTGCGGCGCCTGGGGCTGCGTCACGTGCAGGTGGCCCTGAAGGCAATAGAACTGGTACCACGGGCTCACGCTTGACTAGACATGTGACACGCTCTGCCCGACAAACAGTGCAGAGCCAGCAAGAAACCAGGTCTATGCCAGAGGTTTACGTGCGGTTGACCCTGGGTTGCACGCTGGACAAAGGCGGCCTAGACACTTGACAGCAACGAAACACCGTCAAGAAACATTTCCAATACGTCTTTGCCTTGCACTGACAATTGTGACATTAGTGCATTATTGAATGAAAAATGTTTGAATTATTAGGCAGAAGGATTAACCAGGGCAGACGCAAGGCGCCTGAGCCTGACGGCCCAAGAACTCACTCAGCGGGATTGCGCAGTTTTTGCGCGCTTGTTTGCACGGCGAACGGACAATACGTCAGAGAATACGTAGACGCCCGTGGGAGTGGGAGAAGGAGAAACAGCAGAGAGAATAGAGAGTTTTTAACCTCAGGTGACTGGCTGACTCGCCGCTCCCGGAGATTAGCCCCCAATATTTATCGGATGATGTCACGAATGGACTTGCCACAGCGAGAACAGAACCGAGACACACCAATTCAAGACATACAAAAAATGTAGACACATTCCTTCCTGATCTTCTTGTTCAATCTGGCTCAGTATTTGTGTTTCACGTGAATCATGCGGACTCGCATCATTATTGCGATTCGGAGACATTCTGGTGTGTAACTTTTAACGGTACTTTCATTCGTTTTGATTGATAACGTGCGTGTCGTTCAGGTCAAGCCTATATTTTTTCCGTTACAAAAAAAATATTTTTCAATGAAATCATTACAACGTAGACAATCGTTACGTAACACCGTGACATACTGTCCCCTGCCTGCAGACGCGCCCTGAGAGCAGACAAATAGCAGGCAGACGCAGCAAATGCCCCCACCCAAGCGGCCGCGCGTAGACCGAGCGCGAATGTAGCGTGTAACGAAAATGCGCGATGTTACAGCTTGCCCGTTAGACGGATTCGCCGCGGCCGGCACCTCCTTCCGGCGCAGCGATGATAATAGCGGGCAGCGCAGGAGAAAATGCTTACATACAACCAACCCGCAAGTCGCGTCGCCAGGGAATCCGACGGAGGTTCAGCCGGCACTCACGCTCTCGGCGGTCGAAGGTAACAACCCACTTTGGCGCAAACGCATTTAGTACACGGTCTCTCTGACGGACATTGCGGCCCAGGTTTAGCGCGACAGCGAGCAACAGACTCCGGCGAAGCTCGACCACAACGCGAATTCCGACGCCCACTTTTTGAATCCATTAGAGAGATATCTGAGGAAACAGGAGTCTAAACGCAAACTACGCAAAAAACTGAGAGGCGCAATCCAACGAATTATCGCGGGACAGGCAGAGCAGGCCATCTTCAAACGGACCCCCTAACTTTTTTTAGGTGGATAGAGGCGCACTACATGGCTAAGAACGTTAAGTGAGCTACCTACAAGAACCTCAAAGAAAAATGCTGTAAATCAGCGATGACACGCGACTCAGCTCGATTACACGGCCGACTACGCGAGACATTGACGCCTCTGACGAGTATAGGTTTTGTCTATCACAGAGCTATTTTACGACAAGTGTCGTATACGGCGTCACGTAGGATGGGCGGCCTAAGATGCCGATACTAGCAATCGCAAAATGCCAGACACGGTACGCCGACTGAGCTGCGACAGTGCCACTGGTAATTTGAGCAACCTACCTGAACCCACGCTGCACCGTAAGGGCAAACGGCACGTCGTAGCGAGACCTACGCTGCGTGAGCGGCGGCAGGATTTGTCCCCCAACGGTATAACAATAGGAAGAGATTTAGGCGCCTTCTGATTGGCTGAGATTTGGCAGATGTCAAGCCTCCTGACTTGTAGCCAAAAATCCCCAATTATTAAACCAAAACTTTCGACCCGAACTTTACTGTAAGTGAGAGTTAAAGTAAGTGTTAGGATGTTTTCTTATTTTTTGTTTTTATTTAATATAAAAACATGGGTTTGAAGGAATTAACCGAAAAATAATCATGCCATTTACTTGACTGATTTGCTGTACGAGAAGCCTTTCAAAAAGGAGACAAACGCCGGTTGGCTAGATAAGTTTATAAAGTTTTCTGAATGTATTTGTCCAATGATAAGACATATGCTGATCATACTCTATAAGATAATATTACTATAATTGCATTTTTGTGCAAATGTGTAACTTTTCAATCGTAATACTTAAGATGATGAAGAGGGTCTAGGCTTATATACTTTAGTTATAGCGGCGAATAATTCTGTTTATGTTTGTTGCAGTGGGTCCGATTTAGTTACGTTTCAAGCTGACCTCAGGTTAAAACACTTAGGCTACTACTACGATACTAACGTACTAGATAAGAACTCTTACTACCGGTCAACGAAGTACGAGTAGTATACTCTAAGTACGGTCGGTAGCCCTAGTACTATAGTACCAGTCGTAGTCTAAGTGAGTACTTGTAGGAGACCCTTGCTTCTCCTCGATCCTGACGACGAAGCACTACGGTGCGATTACATAAGTACGTAATGTAATTTAACAAGAGCCCAGCCTACTCATAACTTAGTTGAGATGAAATAACAACATTTAGCAGAAGAATTTGCATATTAGTGATTACTATAATGATTATACAATTAATGAAGAAAAGATGATGTTTTTCATGGAAAAAATACAGAAAACGTACTTATCTAAAGCGCGTCAAGAACCCAAACAAACTTGACAGATGGGCGACGTATTGTTCTCTTGGTCAATAAGGGCAAAAGCAAAATCGAAGACAACAATCAGAATTAAGGCGGGGCATTAATTTTTAAGTTATTTTATTATCATTTTTTTTTTGCTATGTTATACGTTTGGGGAAAAAAATTTTTCGCTGGGCCGCGGCGAACATACTGCGAGGACGGCGGTGGCGTGGCCGTAGCGAGTTTTTACACGTAAGCTTATAATAGTAGAATACTGCTTGCAAAGCAGACGATGCAGACACAAATTACTACGCCCCTGTCCGCGCCAAGCCGCGCAAAAGCAAGAGGTCATAAGGTCTATGGCCCAAGTGTACGCCGCGAACGTAACCTGGTCCATTTGATATGGTTAGAGGTTGGTTAGCGTTAGGGTTAGAGGTATAAGGATATGGAGTTAGGGTTCGGGGGTTAGGGGGAGAGTAGGCGTAGGCGACTCCTAGGACTCGTATAGTGAGAAGTAGAGGCGAGGTACGGATCTGCGTATTTAGATCGTAGCCAGGGTACGTTCGGTATATCGGACCGTACCAGGGTACGTTCCGGCAGCTACCCCCGGGGACATAGACCTCTTCAGACAAAGCCAGCGAGAGCAAATGCCCGCCGTTGCCGAGCCGGGTAGCGATGATGGACGAAACTGGACGCGAATGTGAATAGCTACACGTATTACGGATTCGGCAGCGCCCGCCTCCTCGATGCAGGCTGAATTCGTATAAGCGGGCAGAGCGAAATGCAAACATACAGATACAATAATGTAACCCAAACCCAAGAGGATAGGGATTGCCCCTATCCTCTTGGGTTTGGGTTACATTATTGTATCTACTTTACGGCCGTCACGAATCGCCAGAATTTTCCGTACATAATCTAACTCTGGTTTTAATATTCCATGGCTGTCCCTTCTCCAGAATATCTATTTGTTGTCCCTCCTTACATTTTTCATAACTATCACAATTATATAAATGTTCCATATCTTCTTTCATATCCTTATTATCACTCCTATTATATCCTTATCCTATATCCTTATTATCACTTATCATCGCTAAAATTATTATACTCCTAGATCAATCATGCTACACACACAAACCTAACGCGTCAGTGTAGCGAAGGACTGAAGGTGGCGAACGGGTACCAGTCTAACAGGAGTGATGATGCAGCTGCAGCTTCGGCCGTTGGTCGGCGCTAGCATCGCGCGTCACCAAAACAAACGAAAAATGTGGTCAATTGCACAGATAATAAACATTGAGCTACTGTATCATAGATATCATAAATATGTATATATAGGCATAATACCTGGCGTCATTAATCTAAACTAATAGACAGTTTGAGATTATTTCCCTACGACCGACCCATATATTAAATCAGCGTCGCCAGGTGTCACTAGTGTTCATTGAGGATGTGGTCTTTTTCCGTGGGCGCCTGAGCGGGTTCCGGTAATATGGCATCATGGTGTTGTTAACTTGATATCACTAGCTTTCAGTGTGTTTTTGCATTTGGTAGTAATCGGCCCTGGTGTTCGACAAATAGCTGAATATGTCGGACATACAGGTAAGACCGCTTCCAGTAAGAAGAATCGGTTACTGGATGAGCGAGAAAAAGCGACGAAAGTTGAACCTCGCCTACTTCGCTGATTTATGCAGGTAAACATGACTCGGACGGATGCAGGTGTGAATGGATGGTGTCGGCTGTCGCCACAGGAACTTGGAACGTCTTAATAAAAAAAAATAATGGTAAATAAACACGAAATGTATTTACTATCAAAGTCTTAATGTTTCTGTAGTCTATTTCGCATATAATCACCTGTAAATGCCGGTCAAATGCTCATCTGCAACACACAAGTACACCGCACGCTAGCCACAAGTTCCCATCTCGCTAATAACACTACGTCAGTACGTGGCGAGATGGTCACAAACCGACGCATTAGAAACATGTTCGGCAGTACGTGCGCTGCTATTTAACGTTAAATTATCTCACTTTTTATGATTCTTACAGCTTCTCTGTACTTCCACGCCTCGATTTTTTATATGCGCGCTATCACTGAGCATGTACTTACGTGTCAGCGAGTAATTGTTTATTAATTGATAAGATAAAACTCAAAAAACGCCGCCATTTTCCCATAGATATCCCATAATACGTAGCGATAGTTCGTGAATTTTCGCGTACAAGAAGAGACATAAGAACATCCAGAATGGCGTTTTGCAACGTTCAAATAGTATAGCTGTTTCGAAATTATCTTATTTTAACGTGTATTTCGAGGTAAATAGTAATTAAGAAGTGTAGCGATAGTTGCAACATGTAACGGGTGAGGTCAAATGTGGTAGTACATTGTTTTATTTCTGAAATTTTACGAAATTCGGAGTTTGTTTTCAAGCTACCAGGCATTTCGTATGGAAGGGTGTCATGGTCCTCCGCCGTGTAACAGTCGGAGAGCCTGGTCGGTTTAACCGCACGCTAGCTGCTGCACACTGACACATAATTATAAATATATACTATAGGGACACTGATTTTCCGCGATCGCGGAAAACGGACGGAATTCACGGAAATGGCCATTTGAAACGGAAAATACAATTTGGAACGGAAAATCGCGGAAAACCCTTTTTTGCTAAAATGTTCACTTTGTGAAGAAGAAAACTGTAAAATTTACACTTTCTTCTGATTTTGTTACCATTAGAATAATATCGAACCTAAAATCAACCTTGATAACACCGAATTCTTACTCTTACTGTCTGAATAGTACTTACTGTAGAATACTGATATTCATCAGATTCTGTTAGGAGCGAGTGCGCTGCCATTTTGTTTTCGATGGGCCAATGCAGATTGTACATGCTAGACTATATGACGCAGCGAAAGCTGCTGGAGTCCGGCGAGATCTCGTGAGAAGTTAAGTAGCAACGCCACAGTTTTGATAACTGTTAGGGAAAATTGTCACTGTTTTACGTTTTAATAAACATACAGGTTTGTTTTTGTATGCAAATCTTATGTAAACGGAATTTTTGTTTTTTCATGTGTACAAAGTCTATGGCAAAATGGAATTTCCGTTTTTCAGCCACTTTGAAACGGAATTCATGATTTTCCCAAACGGAAAAGGCCTTTTTTTGAAACGGAAAATCACTGTCCCTATTACTAGTCATAAATATATAGCAGGTAGAAAAGCGTGCTGCCAAAATTCGCTCGACGCTCGCTTGATTTCATGCGAATACAACACAAATATTCAACCATTCTACTCCATCTTTGTTTCTATTTGAAGAACAGTATTCACTTGTTATAAAAACATACCGGGTTACTGTCTGTGTTCGTAACCGAGCTGTAACACGCGAAATCATACAAAGCCTGACGAAATTCTCGCGTTTGCTCCTATTGCGCAGTTTATGTAAATGGCTGTGGAATCAGGAAACACCCACTGGTGCTCTTCGTGACCTCATTTTTGCACCGCAACGCTGTAACGTTTTTGCAACGCTCCACTGGCAGCTTTGACGGGGCTCACACGGTAGTTGGAAAGCAGCGTGGTAGTTCCCCAAAATGCAGTGCGACACCTATAGCCCTGTACTTGCAGCCATTTACATAAACTGCGCAATGGGAGCGAACGCGAGAATTTCGTCAGGCTTTGTGTGATTTCGCGTGACACAGCTCGGTTACGAACACAGACAGTATGTTTTAATAACAAGTGAACACGGTTCTTCAAATAGAAACAAAGAGGGGGTAGAATGGTTGAATATTTGTGTTGTATTCGTATGAAATCAAGCGAGCGTCGAGCTAATTTTGGCAGCACGCTTTCTTACCTGCTATATATTTATGTGTCAGTGTGCAGCAGCTAGCGTGCGGCGGCCAGCGTGTGACAGTGTGTTGCAGATGAGCATTTGGACGGCATTTACAGGAAATTGTCGGCAATAATAGGTGAAAGAGAGTAGAGAAACATTAAGACTTTGGTAGTAAATAGATTTCATATTTATTTAGCATTATATTTTATTGAAACGCTCCAAGTGGCTGTGGGTGTCGCATTGTTGTTATGTGCACTTGCCACTTGCACCGTAATGGAGCCGGTCTATCGTATTTAAAGCGTAGTTACTGTAGTTTTCTCCTGCTTCAATCAGCAGCGTGTGGCGCAGCTTAATTACAATTGAATTAGTTATAATTACCTAGCCCAAACAAAGCCGGGTCCTACTTTGTTTGGGCTACATACTGCATTACTTGTGTTGGCCCAATCCTAGTTTAGCACCCCAGATGAGTTTTGCACATTTGCGAAAATGAGGGCTGGGGTCCCAAACTAGGATTGTGCAACATAGGCATTTAAATTAAAATTATGTTTGATTACTAAATTGGTATACACATACCGATGATCATTAGGTACCGTATAGTTATAAACCAGTATATATAGCGCAAATACACATGGTGCTAAAACTAGATTTGCACCTAGTAGTACATGGTTCGCACAGTCCTTGAAAAGTCATTGAATTTAGTAAATGTTGATTTTGTGCTTGAAAAGTCCTTGAATTTCATGAAAATGTCCTTGAATTTTTAGAAAGAATCCTTGCCTGTAATAAAAAGAAATTTTGTACCATCAATAATGTGCAAACCTCAATAAAAATTGCGTTAAATGAGCTTAAATAGCTATAGACACGATAGACAGTTAAATGATGATCACAAATTACAGTAAGTCAGTAAAATCAGTCAGTAAATCAAGGTATGTTGTAGAAGTGACAGTGTTTAGAAAATTAGAAGGGTTTATTAATGTGATCCAGGTATGTTGTAGAAGTGACAGTGTTTAGAAAATTAGAAGGGTTTATTAATGTGATCCAGGTAAGTTTTAGAGGTGACATGCAGTGATTAAGAATGTGGTTATTAAATTAATCCAGGTATGTTTTGTTCTGTGTATAAATTCCGATAAAATGTCGGATAAAATTTCCTTGAATTTCCGATAAAATATCCTTGAAAAGTCTTTGAAAAAAATTTCAGTTCTCCTGTATAAACTATGTAGTATATGCTGCCGTTGCACCAGAAGATCGCATAGATGTGTATCGCTTTAAAGTTCCAATGATCTATTGGTTAGCATGTGTACCTTTCACTGTGATTGCTGTGAGTTCAAACTAGCAAAGGCTGTGAAGTGTCTAAAAGTGTAAAAAAACCTGGCTCAATGTTGGGGACTATAAATCCCTAGTGGCCACATAATATAGTGGGCCTGTCTGCCGTAATAGGTGCATAAAAGAATTATTGAGGACACGAAGCACTCTAGCAGTGACTATCCTCGGTGTCGATAATGAGGTTGCCCCAGCCCTGATGTTGTGGTCTGGGACTAACAGCTAGTTAGCTACATGCAGATGCACTACCTCGTCAATATATCCAGTGTAGCGGACACCAGCAATTACAGGAACATAACCTAATGCAATTTAATGTAATGTAAACATAAACATAACATCAAGATAATGTAACATAACATAGCATAACAGAACATAACATAGCATAGGATAGCTTGCTGTGGTATGACATGACATAGCATGGCACAAGGCGACACAAAAAACACAACACAACACAACACAACATAACACAACAACACAACACAACTTATCACAACACAACATAACATATTACAAAATGTAATGTAGCGTAATGTAATGTAACATAAAATAATGTAAAATAGAATAAAATTACAAAGATTAGACCATGATTTCAGCAATTTAGATGAGATGAATGGACCTGAATAGTTTGCCTGCATAGCATATCACCTCAGGGTTCTCCAAGCTTTTTCATTATAGCATGGGGTGCTTGGGGGGTCTGGGGGCATGCCCCCCGTAAAATGTTTGAATTGTAGAAGCTCTGAGATGCAATCTGGGACACTCTGTGTGTAAATTTGAAGCACTGCATGTGGGGTGAAAATGTTTGTGTTGCATGGGCAAAGCCATCGGAAAATTCAAAATAATAATGGAATAAAAATACCAAAATGTAGAGATGAACTTGCTGGTTTGCTGGTTCCAAATCGAGTTCACCTCTCATAAATCAGAAAACCTGACATATACCAGTGTTGGAAATAGCAGCTGGTCCCATAGTCCCTGACTGGTAACTTTTCAGCAGGGCTGGCTACTTTTGGAGCAGGACTGGCTAATTTTCAAGAAAATCACTGTCTATTGCGGATTTTTAAATTGTGTTGTAGGTGGTTAATTGCTTAAAATAACAAATATTTTATTTTGGTAACATATTTATTGATTAAGATTTCTTGATGAGCTAGAAAACACTCCGCACCTCTCATCCTTATCACAAACATCATTCCTCTGTCAGAACAAAGGAGGATTAAATTGTGTCCTCACCACTTCATGAAGTTGTTGAGTCATTTTTATCATCTCAGAACAAACTTTACTACATCATTTTTAGAAAAAAAAATTATACATAATTCTATACGCATGCAAATTTCTCAAGCTCATGAATAATTTAAAAACACTGTTCTCCATTCGGTTAGTTGGAAATTGCCCAGGATTCAACAATCACCAGCCATATGTTGCATGGTTGCATTGGTATGATCACATATGCCGAATAAGGTTCATTTTGTAGTTAATGACACTTTAGGTTAGTGGTTATGGTGCCATTGACAAAATGTTAATATAATGCTGGCACCGTATAAATACTATAATAAATTGTGCATTTTCCCTTATGTTGCACTTTCTTTCTATCCATGTGGTGCATGACTCCACAGATTTTTCTATGTGCAGGCATGTCCCCATACATGTGTATATTTGGGTTTGCAGGTGTGCACACAATCTAAACATGCAGAAGTGCATTTAAAATATGCGCATGTAACACGTGTTTGAAATGATAAAAGGTAGCGAGAAAGGCAAAATTTCTAGTGACTATTCTACAGTCTTTAATATGTGGTGATGGTAGATGTTGAGAAATCATACTGATGTACTAGTAATGTGTCTATTGCAAAAGTGCTTGAAATGATGAGATCGTGCAGTAGCAAAATTACAGCTCACACTTTGATGAAAATATGTTGAAAATGTTACTTTTCAGGACCGTGCAAGACAAATTTATAGGTGGGCAGATGGAAGTTAATGAATAGCAAATTAGTAAAAGTGAGAACACGATTGCAAAAATCGTTCCACATGTCAAATATTTCAAAGTTAAAAAAAAAGGCAATAAATATAGCACAGGTGTTTTTTTCACACAAGTTCTATTTAAAATTGCTTATGTATTCTGTGTTTATGTCACTAACACAGATTGTATTGTTCTCGTAAGGTGTTAAATATGCACCAAAGAATTTGTTTCCATGCCTTTCGTACACAACCCTTAGTTGAGCACGAAGGGTCGTTGTCGTATAATGGCGTATAATATGTACCCGAGGTAACTATTTGATATGGTTAGGGTTAGGGTTAGGGTTTTAGGGTTAGGGAGTAGGTGTAGGCGACATACTCGCCGACACCTCGGGTACTATACTCTGGTACGTATACGACAACGACCCCTTCAGTCTTAGTTGGTAGGTGAAGTTGGCTCTATTTGTATATTGATAATGACATCCACCTGAAATCCTGAAGTGCCTTTTGGAATGTTGATGTCATGTGACCATTAATCTACATTCTGTAGACATAGGATATCATGGGTAGAAATTAACTTTTGAACAAGGGAGTCCAACGGACTCCCTACCCTCAAAAAGTGGGAGTCCACAGTCTGAGGTTCAAAATTAAAGATATTAACAATAACGAATACATGTGCTTATTTACACTGCTCCGGAATGGACTAGTTAGTATGGCAGAATTTTCAGGGAGTCACACGGACTCCTTCATATATCAAATCGGGGAGTCCGACACTAAATCAGGGAGTATTTGAATCCGGACTCCCGTTAATTTCGCACCCTGGGATATTATATTTAATCCTCATACTTAGAGCAGAGTGATAACTAAATGCATGCTTAACTCCTTATGCTAACATAGCTTTGCCATATTATCTGATTAGGATTTCCTTTATCACAAGGTGGGCACTATTACCCCTGTAAAGGTAGTTCTATTTTTCAACCACATTTTTGGAAAGTGAATTCCTATTCTAATTACATTAACATTGCAATATCTGTCATAGTTTTTTATTGGCCTTGTTGAAAATGCTACGTTCCTTTTACTAATCTACCTTAATGTTTATAATTTTAATCGATCGCAATGTAACTAATTCTATATTGCCATACCACATAGAAGTAACAACTTGCATTAGTAAATGTCTTGAGTTAAAATGTGAAGTCAACCTTTCTGCCCTGTGTCCCCCACGGCATCAGATGTGATGTCTCGATGTTTTGGGCAATCATTAATTATTCGTTTTTCGTTGGCCTTACAGGAGAAACAACATGGAACTTGTCAAGGTGAGCGGCATTCTTTCGTGTCGTCTGCTTGGTTGTCGCATTGCTCGCGGTCGCACGATCACCAACGGCTGGCATCGACGCCCGTCGCCTGTAGGCAATGGGGGAAAATACCGCGGCCAAGAAAATTCCTGATCCCCAGATCTCATTCTCGCAGAGAGGGATTGGTGTAGGCGCGATCCAGTTGAATAGGGTGCCACTTGTATGCTAATGACAAATAGTGCCGCTATCAGTGGCAATAGTGTGTAGCCGTGTTGAATGTTTGCCATCATAAAACCGATAGTGCCCGCTAGGCTAGACGACTGTCGGGGATTCCAGGAATGGGGATACAAAAATGAGGGCAGGTCCGAGTACATTCGGGTCATTAGGGCAAGCAGGTGATGAAAACTCAAATTAATGAAACCATATTCATTAGGCCTATTAAATTCAAAGAATTGGTTAGAATATTGCTATCCATTTTGTGGAATGATTGTATAAACAGCTCGAGGAAGTATATACTGCATAGGCGAGGAGTCTGTCCATAATTTGTCGAAGCCAAATTCGAGTTGATTATTAATTGCTTCTAAATACGCTCCAGCAGAAAATACCAGTGTCAGTTTGTGGGCCGATAATTTAACACAAATTTTGTTTGACAGCAGGTTTGCACGGCATTCGTTTATATGTTTGACAGGTTGATCTAAACCGGCCGTTGGTTGAGCAGGGCCCTTTTGATGTGTTCATTCACAAGCTGAGCGACGTGATGGCCAAGGCTGGTCTTGGAGACCAGCGCTCACACGAAATATGCACATCCATTGAGGTAACGTGCTATCTCTCTATAGTGTGAGCATACTTACTAGTGGGTGTACGTTGTTGTGAGGATAGCATATGCGAGCGCAGCAAGATACACACAGTTGTACGTGTTCACATTTATGCACACATTACACGCACACACACACATGACGTGTGCACACAGTAATACGATAGGTATGGTTGTTTTACGAAAGTCTCCGGAGCCATTGCGGGGCCATACGTAGATTATCTGTGTGTTTTTGTGGACCATGCTATTGTATGTGTAAATATGCGTAATCCTCTGTAATACATGTATGGTTTCAAGAAATAAAAATGCATGCTACAGGATGTCAAAAGCAAAAATTTCGTACGGGTTTCGGTTTCGAAGCGAGCATCTAAACACCGGCTGTAGAAGCGTCTAATCTTGTCTCTTGCTATCAGCGCCTGTTTATTCTAGGTATAAATTGTTAACTTAAGCTTAGTGCGTCTGCTTCTGCAGATCTCGCGTGTGCATGGGTGCATGCGTGCGCGTGCGTGCATGCTTGCCTGTGTGCGTGGTGCGTATGTGCGTGTATATTTCAGTTCATTTCTTTATTTTTCCTTTTCTTGGAGAAGAATTGATGTTAACAAAATCATCAAGAGTGGAATCATTGAATGGATAGGAAAGCTTATTTAATATTAGAATCATGAATATGTTGACTAGGCTTATCTGATTGGGAGAAATTTCATTTTTACCTGTCTCACAATAGTGAGCCCACTTTGTTTATTGTTCTGTTGAATGACAAATTATTTTGTAACCGATTATTATAGGAGACAAGCATTTTAAATGTATCTTTTCAATTGATGTGTCAAGATCACGTAAAATGAGAGAAATTGAAGGGAATTATTGTTCCACTTATGCAATAGACGATGTCTGTCTAATTACTATTTATACGAACTCGCAGACGTCATGTGCCTATTAGGTCTGTAATGGCGGGTTAAAAACATTCTCCATATTATAGACTACAACACAGACAGTCACAGTATATTATTTTATAGCTTACAGAGTAGATTCCTATAGCCCTGCGTGGCCTTATATAGGTCAGCGTGGGTGGCTTGGTAACTTGGGATGTGCAAACGTGTCAACGAAATCTAGCCGATAAACGACAAAAGGTGTGTTGAGTGCCAGACCATACACGCTGACTCATGCTGATCACTGGGGCAGCCCCGTGCAGAGGACAGCGAGTCATTTATACTTGCAGTGCCGAGGTCCTGCTGGTAGGGGCCGCTGCAATACTGCATACAGGGTATGGAGAGAGAGAGAGAGGGAGTACAACTTGCCCTGAAGTAGAGTTCATGAGGCGGTAGTGTGGCGTACACAGATATGCTGCTTGGGTGGTGCATACAGGGGTACTCGTGTGGTGCACGCAGGGGGTGTTGGTGTGGTGCATACTGAGGGTAATGCATGGAGTATACAGGGTGTGGTGCATAGAGCGTAAGGGTTTTTATGGATGATAATTGCTTTTTGCAGGAGTACTTGGCGAGACATCCAAGCACTTTAGTTTTAGATCCACTCCCGCGCGTTAGATGCCTACTTGACCGATACACACAGTATTCTCTGCTGGATAACGGACCAATGAGTGGGTTAGGAGGTAAGAATAGTTGTACACTCAATTGGTGTCAAGTGGTACACTACACACAACTCTTTTCTCTGCTGATTTATTATTTTCTACCCTATACCTAATCAAACGTTATACTGTAGCGTTGAAGTTACACCAAGATTTGAATGAAATAATTTAGAGTAAAATAATCAAAGACGAAGTATAAATTTTGTGTTCACTAAAAGAATATATTATTTACAACTGATACAGGTCTCTACACGGTACACGCTAATGGAATGCCAGCACTCAAGTCCCTACCTCTCTTCAAATTTCTATTTATATGCAAACTCTCCACCAATCACAAACAAGTCCAAACTCTTCCTAACCAATCACACACAACTACCCAGCTCTTTGTCCTTCCAAAACTCCCGCCATAACCCACATGTCTAACACCCGTTCTGTACCCGTCTAGACTAATATTCCTAAACTAACATGCGTCTACATCGCACACGCAACGTACTATTTGTAACCTACATGCTAAACACTGCACCTAACCCAACCCAGGCTAATTTCAGCCAAATCTAGCTACACTTACTACTTTATGTAAACATCTCTAAAACACATGTTACATTTACCTCCCTTTTCTTCAAAACGATGACCCCATCATCAATTCAGCGCCCCGCTGATCTAAATTTCCTCTTTAACTACCAGGGGCGTAGCCAGTATGTAGCACTGTAGGCCCGTACCTACACTTTTTTTGGCCGAGTTATCTTATTTTTTTTAAACACCCATAATTCAAATCCATAAGCTTGCTGGACGAGTTTAAGAGTCTAGGCAGGAAAAACTATTGAAATTAACGTAGCAAGAATATGGCTAAATTAGATGACCTATTCTTCTGTCATCTAGGCTGTCATTTCTATCGCGTGCCGTTTCATTCAACACTCTACCCGCCGAAAAAGACTAGGATCCGATCTTGTCAGTTTTTTAACATTTTAACTCGTTCGTAACACTATTTTAACTCGTTTGTGTTTTTTGGGTTTAAAAGTGATATTGAATTAGGTGTCTCAAGTTAGCAAGAGGTCAGGGAACCAGAATGAACACTCGGGAAGGGTACAAGACTTTGCATGCGACCACGATTAGCTAGGCAATATCTATGGCCTTAACTGCCCACCGAATTTAATCTCACTGACCACTTTATATAATTTCAATACTTGACACGAACAGGGGTCGAAATTAGATTTTTATTATGGTATCCATTCGAGATACCAGGTATTGAAATCTGGTATCCCCCAAAGATCTGGTATCCCGGATTTTTTGGATAGTAATTTCAACAATGTTGGTAATCCCAAATCTTGAAATATACAATAATAGCATTTGAAAATTATTAATATGTAATGTAATTATTATCAAGAGTAGATAATAACACAAGAGCGAGACACCGATTCCTGCATTTTTAGTCATCTGACAGTGCAGATGCAGCTTGTAGAATCGGCATGATCGTCGCCGTCCCGTTCTACGCGTCCGAGCGTCCCGTCCGTCCGTCGTCAAAGTTGGGCACAAATTTAACCGCTCGACGTACGGTCACGATATTCGGGACGTGGGGGTAATCCGAAAACGAGTTGGGATGTCGAAGCTGGGGTCAAAGGTCAAAGGTCAAGAGGTGTAAAAGAAGAGGGAACATTCACTCCTTAACTTAAGGTATAGGGAGGAAATGTAGAATTGCGGCACAAATCTAAACGGCTCACCTAAGTCGTGATAGTCGGTGTATACGCACTCATGGTAGGAAAAGCCATCACTGTGCCCGAAATTTGGAGCACAGGTCAAGGTCAATGGGCACGGGCAGATTTAGACATTTTCTGAGGACATGGTCTGACGGAGCGATTTGAAAACTTTTTGTTCTCAGCGGTGACCTAGCATTTTATGGCTTTATTGAAAGGACCTTGAAATATGCTTTCGACTGACATGGCGAAGAGTAGTGTCGGATAACCTTTTGACCCTCAAGAGGAGGTTAAACATTGATTTGTTGACTGTTAACAAAGGACTGAACTGCTTTTGCTATATTAGAGCCCATACCTGTGTCAATGTGAGGCTACAGTTGCACAGTTTAATTGCAAGGCAAATGTTTGTTGAACAAGTTTACGCTCCTTAAATCATATGCATTTTCTAAAGCAGTCTGTCTATAGCACCCTGCCCTGGGCCTGAAGGCTGAATGATGAATCAGTGAATGCTCGCATGAGGCAAAACACGGGCACGCTTCTAATCATAATTGTTGCCTGCACAACTGCAATGCACTGTTAACTCACAGCTGATTAACTCACAGCACACTCAAATTATCACCTGCCTGATATAACTTACTTGGATTTTAGCCTGTACCTACTGTAGGATTTCAGGAATGAGGGCAGATGCCATCTTGATTATTGATTACACTTGCACGCGCGCTATCTCGCGGCAACTATAGCCTAGTTTAAATTAGATTTATTCTCATGTAACTTTGTTAAACGAATAGATAATAACTAGTACCATATAATATATAATATTTTACCTTTTCATCTTGAATCTTAACATATATCATTGTAGCTATGGCCGTGCGTATCCATTTACCAGTTATGCGAACATAGCTGTTACCATAGAAATATTAGGGTGGCGGGGGCAGGGAGGCGGCGGCGGGGGCGGAATTGAGGGGCAGTAAAAGGCATCATCGCTGGTTTTAAATTTTTTTTATATAATTAAGAGAGAGAGAAGGAAAGTCTAAGATAAAGAGAGAGAGAGAGAGTAGTAATTGAGACGGGGACAGGAAAACGGTGATACGGTGTGTATGCGAGCGGGAAACGGGGTACAATTAGGTTCGTGCGAGATGGTGGGCAAAGGATGGGAGGTGGGAGGCAGGGGGAGGGAGGTCGAGGGGCAGGGGGAGGGAGATGGAGGTAAGGGGTGGAACGTGAGAGGCAAGGGAGTGAATGTGGGAGGGCAAGGGGGAGGAGGAGGAGGGAGTGGGACACAGTGGGAGGGAGGTGGGGAGAAGACTACCGCGCCCCTTCTTAATTATACTTGAGATACTGCTCCCATGGATGTTGAAATCTTTTATAGATAGATAAAAATAGTAGATAGGCGTGAATCCCTATGACACAAATCGATGAAAGCAAGCATGCATTTAATAAAAGTAAACCAAAATCGCATGGGGGGGGCGGGAGATAGTGAGCGGTGTCCAACAAATGAGTGTACGGTCAACTGCGTATCTGCGCCATATCTGCGCCACAAATTGTCACTACGGCACGGATGAAATGCGTACGTTCATAACCGTAGCAACGACCCGCGAGATGAGCGCCACGACGCTCTGGCGGCTGCTTGTTAACCGATTTTTTCTCATCAAATTTGAGGCAAATGTAATACGTTCCTACAGCTTCTTATTGACCACTAATCACCCCTTCGTGACTGATATTTGTTCTACATATATTTGCTAGCGTATTGCTGTAATGCGTAATCCTTCACGTGGAAGCCTGAATTCGCACCAGATTTACGCGCTATTGGTGTATGAGGGTGTTAAGGCAAAATTTGAAGCTATAGGGCGCGGCAATATTTAGCAT